GAAAACAGAAATTGGAGACTTTCAGATTTTGATCCTGAGTGATTATAATAATTGTTAGGTACTTTTAATAGAAATGGGGAAGTCAGAGGGTAAGCTGATTTTGTGAAAGATGATATAGGTACTTCACATGAAATCTAGTCTCCAGCTCCAGACGAATGATATTTCATGGCATTGAGGAAATCTAGAATTGAATGTAATCTCTGATAATCATGGAAAATGAAAACATTTTATTGTCTTAAGATAGGCAAACATCTGATTTTCATAAAAGGAATGGAATAGTCCACTAACTACAAAAATTAACATTCATGAGCTCCATGTCCATGCCTGAGAAAATAGGATTATTAAACAGATGGTTTGTGAGCACTTAGGTAATGAAGTAGTGATCACTAGGAGCCACCATGAGTTCACCATAACAGATCACATCAAGGTAACTTAATTTGTTTTAATAGGATTACTAGATCAGGGAAGGCCATTGACAGTATAAAGCATTTAACTAAGTTGTTGTGAACAAGTTGAAGAAATGTCTTAATAATAGTTCAGTAAGTATATTCATGACTGGTTGTATAATCACATCTAGAGACAAATTATTTAATGAAAGGCATATAGGGAGGTGGTTAAAGTATGGTTTCTGGAATTAGACTGCCTTGGTTTCAGTTCTGACTCTGCCACTTACTAGTCATGTGACATTAGGCATGTTAATTTATCTTTTTAAGTTTCAATTCCTCACCTGTAAAAATAGGGGTAATAATAATTATACTTTGTAGCATGTTGTTAAAACTAAATTATGCCAAAGTACTTAGTAAGAATTTAATAAATGTTGGATGTTATTTTAACCCAGAGGAACATTTATGATGACTTGCTATAAGGCTGTTACCCAGACTTGTCCCACTTGACATTTTTATCTAAAATCTAAATGAAGGGGCACCTGGGTGGCTCAGTCGTTAGGCGTGTGCCTTTGGCTCAGGTCATGATCGAGGATCGAGCCCCGCATTGGGCTCCCTGCTCCACGGGAGGGGAGGCCTGCTTTCTCCCTCTCCCACTCCCCCTGCTGGTGTTCCCTCTCTCACTGTCTCTCTGTCAAATAAATAAATAAAATCTTTTAAAAAAATAAAATCTAAATGAAGACACAAGAAATTGAATTTAAGGATAACCCAAATCTGGGTAAGAGAGAGATAATACATTGAATAGCAGAATCAGGCTAAAAAAAGACTTTGATAGGCATAACGATAATCTGAACCTGGCAAGGTAAAATTTAATAAGAATAAATATGAAATTCTCCCTTTAGATCTAGCAGTTTCACCTGCTTAGAACTTTGTAAGAACAAGACTTAAGGGTTTGAATTGACTACAACTTCCATTTGAGCCAATTTTGTAAAAATGCAGAAAATAATTTAGTTAACAGAACAAAGGAAGTGGTCCCACTATGAGCTGATTGTATTAGAGCATATATTAATAATGTGTTCAATTCCAGACATCACAATTTAATAAAAACATCAGTAAACTGAGGTAATAATCCAAGATAATGAATAGATTTGTAAGCTATAAGAGGAGGAACTCTAAGGGCACATTTAACATGGAAAAGAAAAGTTGAGATATATGTTAGGCCAATCTTCAAATATCTGAAAAGATAATATATAGAATATAGACTGGATTTATTTGGTAAGGCTCATTTTAGAAGAACTAGCTTCAGGAAGCAAATTTTAGCTCAGTATAAAGAATGTTCTAATGATTGTAGCTCTTTAAAAATGAATTGGCCGACTAATGAAGGTGTAAAGTTCCCAACCGTAGAAGTATTGAGGCAGAGGGAGGATTACTTGTCAAGGATATTGCAGTGGGAGTTCTGTATTGGGTAGGAAATCAGAGCTTTAGGGTCTCTTCCAATGCTGATATTCTATAATGTATTGAGGACATCAATTTTACACATGTTGAATTTCATTAAGTACTTTTATCTTCCTGAATTGATAATGATAATCTGCAGCCTATATTATATACCCTGAAATAAAATTATTTCAACAGCATTTGAAGTGAATTTGGAAGAATCATTTGGTCACCAATCATTTTAACAGATTCATCCCATGTACTTAAGTCTTACACTCTGTTTCAGAAGTGATTGGTATCTGGGTACAAAAACATGTAGGTAGGAACTCTTTAAGAGTTCTCAGAGTATAGAAAAACCTGGAGAGTACACACAGAACACAATCTTGTAAGTCCATAAGAGATAAGGAATAAATATAAAATATTGTATAAAGTATTTGTGTTAAATATGTCAAACGTACTTCTGAAATTTCTATTAATACTCAAAATTCATTCAGTAATCTTTCAAAAATTGATAAGATATACATAGCAATGGTTAGCAATTTCTCAATTTGTGTTTATTATGTTGCAGGTTTTAAAGACCTAAAGATACAAAAACATGCCTAATCAGGACAACAACACTTAAAAAAATGATAAGAATGTTCTTGAAGCTTCTGCCTTAGAATGCTTGAACATGTTTAGAATGACTTTGTTATATGCATGGTTCTTTGCCACAAATATCTTCATTACAGTGTCTTAGTAAAAATATGTTGTTTTTTTTTCCATTAAGCTTCTATAACAGACTTTTAATACTCTGTGGTAGATATATGAAGACAAGCTTTGGTTATAAGAAAAAACTTTAGTTGCCCTTTTCTCTCATTTCTTTAGATAAGTGGGCACTAGAAATTATAGATAGCTTTGGCAAGAGTTCAAGGGTTAATGTAGCAGATAAATAAAAGGAATTTTCTGTAAATTGAGACCTGCATTATTTCAGTTGTCTTGTCTTTCCTAACCTAACTCATTTAATTTTAAAAAGTAAATACTTAAATTCTTCCTGACAGTGTGCTCAGCTTTTACTATCGTTTATTACTTCAATTATACTTGATATCACTTAGAACAATCTGCCATTTGGAAATCTCAGTATAGCCTGGAGCTTAGTATTAGATCTGGCTGCTATTGTAACATGTACAGCATATGACATTAATGTATCAAAATTAGATTGGATCATCCCTCCTGGTTAAATTTATTTCACATTTCTTTTGTATTCAGTTAACATAAACCTATTAGGGAAGCTGACACATGGGGATGGCTGTATAGGAAGGATATTTTTAAAGTATTTTGATTAAAAAATGAAATTATAGAGCCATGGCTTTTCTAAGTTGTGTAATCTGTTTGGTTTTTAAAAATGTCACAAAGCCCAAGTACTAAATTTATATTATTTAACGGGTGTGTGTGTCCACACATGTGTGTGGTGTGGTGTAAATAATGAGAATTAAAATTTAAACAGTATTTTGATGGTTAGGCCTACCATCATACATTTAGAGTATGATTATGGTTTCCAAGAAGAAAAAAAAATTTAATATACTTAAGCCTAAAGCCCTCCTTAAAAGAAAATAAATATTTGTATACTGTATTTCTTAAATAATAGATTTTGGTCTATGGAGTTAGCCTGGGTACTCTTTTAATCCAATCGAAGTATCTGAGGGGGCATTTCTTGCTTAGGAATACAAAAGTTAAAGTTGAGGGATTTGCCTTGTATTTTCAGATACTTTAATGATATTCATGGTAATTAGGATTTTCTAGGTAGACTGCTGTTAGGGACTTTAAAAACCATTAGAACACTGGTTCTTGGCTTTTTTTGGGTTACATACTCTATTTGATAGACTCTCTCCTCAGAAAAATACACAAATAAAATTTTACACGTAACTTTCAAATATTCACAGACTCCTTGAGTCCAGATTAGGAACTCCAGGGTTCTGGGGTGCCTGGCTGGCTCATTCAGTGGTGTGTAACTCTTGATCTCTGGGTAAATGAGTTCAAGCCCCACGGGCGTAGGGATTACTTAAAAACAAAAACAAAAACTCCAGGGTTAAGGGTAACAGAAGAGAGAGCCTTTCATTAATTAGGCTTAAGTTCTTTTTTGTTTGTTGAAATCACACATTTAACTTTTTTCTTACTCTGTGGTCTTTAAGCCAAGTAGATTGCATATTTCAAAAACAGAAATTGCTTGTATGTTAGCTCATCAAAAAATATTGATGGCACTTATCCTAGTTCTCTCTTCCAAACCTTCTAAACCTTGAGTGTGTCACCCATACAGTATGTCCATTTATCTGAAAGTAGTAGAAAACCTCATGTGAGATATGCACCAAAAAAGGACTCAGGTGTTCGCAGTAACAGAATCAATTAATCTAAGATAACCAAATTTTATATTGAAATGCATGTTTATATGATAATCTCTATGAAGAAAACTCAAGACTAATGGATATTAAGTTCATTTTTCTGATAACTTAGAAATCCAACTTTTGGATGTTTTGCTTTTTTATAATTTTAATCATCATAATGTTAACTCTCTCTGATTGCCAGAAGCACCTTTGTAAGCACCACAAATATTTAAACAACATCTTGAGAGTCTAACACATTTCAAGAAGTCTGTTTGGAAGAATTTCATATACAGTGTTTCATAGGCAAAGAAACCACGGAAAAATGTTGAACCAAATACAGTCAACCTTCTCTTACTTAATAGATTATTTACCCAATTTATGAATTATCTATTTCTTTTCCTTCTCTTCCTGTTGCCTTCTTTAGGCAACTTTACTGCTCATTAGCCCTTTGAAAGAATGGTCAGAAAAAAGGGAGAAGAATCTTACGTTGCTCACTTTTTAAAAACATTTAAACAGTCTTGTAAAAGGCTTGGTAATGGGAAACTAGTATAGTTGCTAGTTAAGAAGAGTATTTGGGCTGTATGGGAATTTTTTTCATCTAAGTTCTCTGCTTCCCATTGTTGACAGCTAAAAATTTTCTGGTCTTTTGCAGTGTCTCCTAATGTTTTGAGTGTTTGTGTTTCATGTGAAAATGATCAAATGAAATTTATAGTTTTTTATTTCTTGACCTTTTAATCTTTTTATAGTATAGTATATTGTCAGTAGCTGTATGAAGAGCTATATGCTTTTTTCTAAAACACTATGAACTATTTTCTTGGTTTTCCAGTTAAGACATTTGGGAAATGATGAAGTACACATTGTTTGGTCAGAGCATACTAGAGACTACAGGAGAGGAATTATTCCTACAGAATTCGGTGATGTCCTTATTGTAATATATCCAATGAAAAATCACATGTTCAGTATTCAGATAATGAAAAAACCAGAGGTAAGAACTCCTTATGTTACATTTTAATAATATATTTTGAGCTGTATGTGGGTTTGTGAGTTTCTTCTTTCAGAAGAATTAGACTAGGCATATCAGGTTGTGAAAACAGGGGGAAATGAGACACAGACTCTGGTAGCTATGTAAATTGTCTAAGTCTGATTCAGAAGGAGCTAAAACTGGAAAAATAGCAAGAAACTATGTTCAAATGGGAGAAGGCTAAGGTAGTGCCAGAGTGAAAGTTGCTTTCTACCAAGCTCACAAAAGGATTACCTTTTATTAAGAGGATGATTATACAATAAGAAGTAATCATTCTTGTATTTTTAGTTAATATATCTTACTAAGAATTACATGATTATTTAGTCATGTTCCTTAATAAAGGAAAGGTCTACAATGTCAAAAAAAAAAATAAAAACCTTCTAGTTGGATCTCTTAAACCATAGGGTTGAAATACACTTGCAGAAGTATTTTCTTTCAAAATAATTTAAAAAGTGTGGTAGTGTTTTGGTGTCTTTCTTATTTTTTTAATTGAATACTTTTTAATTTATAGGAAACCTATTTTTTCACAGTTGATCATGAATCGTTAGAATTTCTTGAATAAGACTGTTTCCCAGGTGTGAATTTAAGCTTACAGCCAGGTTTTTTTAGGGTTTATCTAAACGAGAGGTCAGCAAACTATGGCCCACTTCCTATTTTTGTACAGCCTGAAAGCTAGCTATTAATGGTTTTTACATTTTTAATGGGTTTTTCTTTTTTTTCTTTTTTTGTTTTTGTTTTGTTTTCAGTGTCCCCTTCCTCCCCAGGTTTTTTCTTTTTTTAAAAAAAATCAAGAGGGGCACCTGGGTGGCTCAGTCGGTTGAGCGTCTGCTTTCCACTCAGGTCATGATCCCAGGGTCCTGAGATCGAGCCCTGTGGTTGTGCTCCCTGCTCAGTGGGGAGCCTGCTTCTCCCTCTCCTTCTGTTCCTCCCTCCCACTCGTTTTCTCTCTCAGTGGCTCTGCTCTCTCTCTCTCTCTCTCTCAAATAATCTTTAAAAAATTTTTTTAAAAATCAAGAATATACATCAGGGACAATATATGGCCACAAAGCCATATTTTTTGACATATTTACTGTATTATTCACAGCTCACATCCTTGCCTTCAGCTGTCATTTGTACCAACCATACTCAAACAGAATAACTTTGACACTGTCAGTCATCTGATAAAAATGACAATTACCAAGACATAGATTTTTTTCTAATAAACCATGTAATAAAAGTCTTTTAGGTTCTGTAGTAAAACTGGTATCACACAAAAATAATGAAGAACTAATTTGCTGCCTATAAGGATGTATTATCGTCACTGTGTTTTTTTCCAGTGTTGGGTTTTTGTGTACAATTAAGGCTACAAAAATTTGAAAACTGTCAGGGATATGAATTATTTAGTCAGTTAAATGAAGCACAGTTTTTTGAATGGGAAACGCTGTAGACTTTGGCATTTTTTGTTTATTGTCCTGGTGTTAATCATGGAAAATAATTGAATTTGAATAGTATTTCTACTGAAGGAAGAACTAAAGAGGAAGTAGAAACATTTTTGTGTGCAATGTCTTGATTGTTCTTATTTGTAACCTTTCTCCAATATGAGTATAAAATTATGTTCTAATTTCTCATTCAGGTTCCCTTCTTTGGTCCACTTTTTGATGGTGCTATTGTGAATGGAAAGGTCCTACCCATTATGGTTCGAGCAACAGCTATAAATGCAAGCCGTGCTCTGAAATCTCTGATTCCATTGTATCAAAACTTGTATCCTTTTTAACAGTATGGTTTCTACTCTAATAAATGTCTACTTTCCAAGGTAGGTATTTCTTATGTGTTAGGTGAATTTTTGTTTACTGATATATAGATGATAGACTTCCTCCCCAGTGTTTGAGCACTTACGATATTTGAGTGATATATTTTCTTTTACATACTACTAATCAGTACTTTTCTTTTGATTAATTAATTAGGACCCATTAGGGGTACTCTAATACTCTAGAGTACTGCTAGGTACTCTGACACTATAGATGTATAAAAATAACCGAAATAGTCATCATAAAGTACTCAGTCTAGTTGAGGAAATATACTGTTTTTAGTGCATGTGTTGTAACAGAGTTATGTAGTGTTCTGGATGTATAATGACAAGCAGCCTCTCAGCTGGAAGGGCAATGGTGTCAGGAAACACTTATGAGAAATGTGAGGATTGAATATTGAAAGATGATGAATAAGAGTTAATCGGGTGGATGAGATTGAGAAGAGCATTCCAGGCAGAGGGAACAAGATAAACAAAGATGTGGAAGTATGAGAGGACATGGCGTGTTTAAGAACATGGTTTCTGGAGCCAGATCTCTGGACTCAAATGCTGGCCATCACTTCCTTAGCTATCTAGCCTTGGGCAAATTATTTAACCTCTCTGAGCCTCAGTTTCCATATCTATAAAATGAGAATGATAACGTCTAGCTCATTGTGTTATGAGAAGTGAATGATTCAATATGTATAAAGCCCTTAGAGCAGTGCCTGGCACACAATATGTACACAGTTTTAAATTTTAAATTGTTTTCTGATATTCCTTTCTAAAATGAATTTGTGTTTCCATGTACCTTTTCTATATGATTAAAAACATTTCAGTTCTTTTTCTTTTACTTAAGCTTTACAGGGAAGGCTTTTTAAAATATCCTATGTTCTATTCCACATAATATGGATTTATTGTAAGTCTGCCACATATATTCTCTTCTTTTGATGAAAATTGACTTAAGCAATCTGATTCCTGTGTAATTTCTCATGTATTCTAACACTGTGAAATGGAATTATAGGTGGATCATGGCATGGCACATTGATTAAGCTTAATAACATTTATGTAGCATTTCTTATTTGTGACAGTTATATCTTCACTTTTAAGTTGAAAGCTCAGATTTGAGGTGATCATTGTCGTGAAATGTAACGATTTGGTTTATTATTTCCTGAGTATCTCTAGAAAGGTAGCTAATCCTACAAGGAATAAACAGATTATTACCCATAAACTAAATTTATCCACATTGTCAACTCCTCTGAGGTTGTCTTCTTTCTGACCTTTGCCTCCTTACAGTTTGCCTGATCCTGATGTTCATCCTGAGGTTAGTGTCCTCCGCCATTTCACTTAAGACACAACTGAAACAATGCCTTAAATCTTTTGGGAAAATGATGAGAGAGAGTAGACTGTGGTACAAAACTCTGTTTGCCTCTTGTGTCATAAAACAGGAACTCAATTTTTTGAGCAAACACAAACTGTTTCTGACCCAAGGTACAAACATTTAAGATGCTCACCTTACCAAGTAGTTAAATGCAAAATTAAAAGTATTGGGGCTATGGCTTAATTTCTTTTTCCTGCACCTAAGTTCATACTCTTGAGAACTAATTCAGATTTGCATGTTATACTAGAGGTATGGTGGCTGGATTTGCAGTTAGAAAATAACTGATTTTAACTCAAGCTCTGCCTTGTGATCTTGGTCTAGTCACAGAATTTCTAAACCTCACTTTCTTTGTCTGTAAAAAAGATAATACCCATCTCAGAATTATTGTGAAGATTAAATGAGGTAATGAATTTGGATGTGCTTAGTAAATGAAATAGGGTACATTATGTTGTGCAGTGATTAATTCTGTTATCTGTAAAGATTACAGTCAATATTAAAACAACTCTACCCAACACCAAGGAATAGCCTAATTGAGTTTTTATGTTTGGTTGGTTGGTAGGTTTATTGATTGGATTGGATTTTCAGGCCTGTTTCTTGAAGTTTTTAAATAGTTCATCTTGCTGAGACATTAATAGATACCACATTGGAGAAAATTTTCTAAAATGAAGAGAGATAATTTCAGATTGAAAGAGTAAACATGAACACTTTATTTACACAGCAAATATGAGCAATTTCCATCAGCAGAACCTTCTGGAACACTCAATAAAAATATAAAATCAGATCAAAGAAATTTTTCTGGACTCGGAAGCTTGAATTTAGAAGCTATATGGAAATTATTTCCCCATACTATTTAAGGATATAATAAAGTGCTCCTAGCCTTTGCTAATCTGAGGAATATATAGTCATCTTTTACGAGGATTCACAAAGTTCTATATTCTAAATGTCAGGGGAAATGATTTCATATAGGTAGATTACTTGATTTTTAAATTCAACCTTATATACTAAGTTACAACTAGGTGCTTTTAAGATATTGAAATATAGATGTCTTGAAATTTAAATAAATACCTGTTTCAGAAATACATTAAACTTTAAAATGTATGTTTTTGACAAATCCAGATAAGTTCCCATTAAGGAAAAAACCATGTGTTCTAAAACAGATCAATGGAACTTAACAGAAATTATGACAAATTGAAATAGAAGTAGGCTTTGAAAACCACCAGTTACTACTTTAATCCTCATAAGAGAAATAAAGGGATAAAAGAATATATAATAAACTCACTTATATTTGGATAATTGTACTGCTGTGTTAGTTATTTTATGCCCAATAAAAGTACACCCACCAAGATTCCACAGCATAAATTGTGCTGTTTATGATCATTAAATACAGTTTAAATTTTATCCTGGGAACATCTTCAGTAACTATGAATCTAATGTTGTTCACTAAATGAGGACAATATTGATTGTCATATGCTCTCCAAATCGATCATGCTGGCAGCCAGAATTACAGTAATCTGTCAGTATTGATGACTGTCTTTCAAGCTTTGAAACCTCTCCTTCACTTCACTTGTCATTTCTTGCATTACTTGTACTTGAAAAGCATTTTCTTGCAACCTTGGTCTTTGTCAGCTAGGTGATTTTTTTTTTTTTTGTCTCAAGCTCAATTTGTTGGTTTGATCATACAATTAGAATTGAAATGCAATGCTGGGGAGGAAGAAAAGGCAGATTCTGGGTAACCAGTGGACCTGAGGGGTATTTCAGGTTGATCTTAGCCATCATTTGTTAGTGACCTGTTGAGTGTGTGTGTGTGTGTGTGTGTGTGTGTGTGTGTGTGTTGGAGTTGGGTTGTTTTGTTGTTGTTTTAATTTTTTGGCTTTTTTTTTGCAGTGGGAATAATGTAGTATTAATTTCATGATCTTGGCTATCATTACTCTATACCTTAAATAAAAATTTTAAAGCAATTTTTGTTACGATCCTAGAGACATTTCAACTATGTACAAATGTTAAATATGATGCTATGTGTACTGTTTCTTTTTTTAACATGAGATTTATTATACAAAGAAATTTTCAGAAGTTACGGTATATAATCATGTTGTATTAGGGTTCTCAGAGAAACAGAATCAATAGGATGTAGGTATATACATACATAAAGAGAGAAAGATTAATTTTAAGGAATTAGCTCACACAGTTGTGGGGGACTGGCAAGTCTGAAATCTGCAGGAGTTCTTAGGTAGAGTTGATGTTGTAATCTGAGTCAAAAGACATCTGGAGGTAGAATTCCTTACTTCCGTGGGGACCTCAGTCTTTTCTCTTAACCTTCAACTGATTGGTTGATGCCCACTCACATACATTATAGAGTATCATCTGCTTTACTCAAAGTCTCTTGATTGTAAATGGTAATCACATCTGAAAAAATACCGTCACAGCAATGCCAAGACTGGTGTTTAACCAAAAACTGGATACCATGACCTAGCCAAATTGACAAAATTAACAGTCTCACATGTCCCATTTTTCTTAATTTTTCTTTTTAACCTTTCTTACTGAAAAATATAATTTGAAAAAAGTACATAAATTCTAAGTGTACTATATGGTGAATAATTACAGTTTACCACCAGCTCAAGAAATAGAACTTTACTGTTATTCTTCTATCAAAAATATTTCCTGATCACTTTTATGATAGTGGTAAAGATTTGAGAAACATGTAGAGACAAATCACAGTTGAGCCTTGAACAACATAGGTTTGAACTGCACAGGTCCACTTACGTGTGGGCTTTTTTCTGATAATGTAAAATGTATTTTTTCCTCCTTATGATTTTAATATTTTTTAATACTTTAATATTCTTTTTTCTAGCTTATTTTAAGAATACAGTATGAAATGCATGTAACATACAAAATATGTTGTAAGGCTCTGATCAGCAGTAGGCTATTAGTAGTTAAGTTTTGGGGGAGTTAAAAAATTTGGGGGCTGCAGGGGTGTTGGCACCCCAGCCTCCATGTTGTTGAAGGGGCAGCTGTAGATGGTAATTTTTTTCTCCAATAAGCTTATAATTTAATAGGGGAGAGAATAATATGTAAATTAATAATTAAGACAAGATAAAATGTGACATAGTAGGGTTATAGATGAAATGCTCTGGGAGTTCTAAGGATGAAGTTATTACTTTAGGAGTAAGAAAATAAAGGAAGAATGCAAGGAAAATCTGGGCCTCAGAGGGTGAGATTTTAGTAGATGGAATGCAGCATGTCTGTTATAATTCTTATAATTTATATTTAGGGGCTTTGTATGTATGTATATAATATATATGTGATATTCTGAAATACACAGTATGGGGGGTATTATACAATTAAATGGCATCTTTAAAAAACACATTCTTCCTAGGTTTAATATTCTTTCCTACCAAACCAATATTATTTGATTTGTTCTAATCTGTTTAGATTTGACCTTTTTGTAAATGCCAGAATTGGGTTTCTGTTTTAACTTTATCAGACAAATTACCAGAAGTCAATGATCATTCTTCAATTAGTCACAGTTTGTTATCTCTTGCAGTTCTACTACTCAAATGTAAAGAACTTGTTGCAAAAGTATGAGAGCCAAAATGAAAT